AAATCCTGCTTAGCAACCACCGCACCTTCCGTTGTAAAAGCGCTACACCTCACTTCCCTGGCAGCCAAACAACTAATTGTATGGTGCACATGCATCCCTGATGTGATCCCTCTTTATCGTAATCGCTGCCTTTAGGCATCACTGACCTTTGTTTCAATGTGTGGAGGAAGTCGGTGAACGAAATCTACTTCTTCTTCGGAACACTCACTAAAAGACTTTGAGCAGCCGGAACTTGTTGACATTGGAGGTGATGGCACACGAAGATTGGGTTTGCTCTATAATAGCATTTTATAATTAGCTAAAAACCCATTATATCCTTCATGACACCTTTCCGGTAACCTATCCTGATTGCGGATAATAACCCTAGGCTTGCTAGGCCTTAACCTCATTTGGTTGTGAGTACAAGGCGTGATTGACAAAGGGTAGCGTCGGTGTTGTTTGTGGTGTTGGTGTGTTTGTATTGGCAAGTAGGTCGTTGTTCCTTGGTCGTTACTGGATAAGGAGGAGTGACTGGGAATGGTCGGTCTGAAAGACACGGTAGAAGAGTTGCATAATGACTTGAAAAGAAAATCTAGCAATCCCACTGACCATAGAAATTTGGAAGATTAGGTGGTTGGTGCTGCGGCAGAAGAGGTGTGGGATTCATTCCAGTTCTAGGGAATGCAGTTTCTGTCTAAAAAACGGACATATAAAATTGGATTCCTCGAAACTAAAGTTGCCACCTGATTCGTTGGAAAAGTTTTTCAATTTGAATAGCTTCATAAAAAGCACGAAGGAAACTGACCGTTTCGGAGTGGACATGCGGATGGATATTGTACACTGCAACTTGGCAAATACATCACTGGAAACATTTGCGTAAGAAAGCATGAAAAGCATCGGGACTTTTTTACGACATTCTGTCGTCGTTTGTCCGAAGCACGAAGCGTTTCTCAGAGTGGACAACGGTGTTTGCTGATATTTCTTATGTCTGAGTTGCCAGAGATTTACAAATAGAACTCATTCTACATATTTTTTACACGATAACATAACTAGGTTTAGAAAATATGAGCTACAAGGTAAAATATCTAGGTTAGATCGAGAAACAGCCGCAATCTCATAACGCATAGAATGTAATGAATGAGAGGAATAATGTATGATCGTTTTGGAATTGGCGTGCCCAGCAGGACCAACCATTGGGACAAATTTCTGAATCAAGTGAACCTTTTTCCGGAGAGGTTTTTATTAGTACATATCTTCTTTCCAATAAATTCTACAATTTTTACATTCAATGGGCCAACTTCTACATCATAGCACTTCATTTTGCTTCACCTCCACCCAACCTCTCCTAACTCCAAAGGCTTCAAGCAACTTCCAAAAGTTACAAAATGGGTCAAGTTGACGAAAGGGGCGGACAGACCCTGCTGACAAGCTGGCTTCAAGGGCTTTCCTACGCAATGGTTTTAACCCAACCTATTTTTATGGAGTTTCTCCATAGATCGAAGAATGGTTTTTGAGGCAGCAATGCAAAAACCTATCAAAAATTCAGAAAAAAATGTCATTCATGTTTCAGCGATGAGTTTGTATGATTTTTTGTCTTATTTTGATTTCGAACCAGGTTGTGGTGATGAGTCGAACTTATAGTGGATCACTGAGCCCAGGCCCTATCGCAAGATACAGGGACATTGTTGTGATAGTGCGCTCAAAACTGTGTGAAACATCTCCTTTTTGTTGACCAGGGGAGTAAGCCTCAGGCGGAGAGGAAAGACTTCAGAGCGCGTGAGCAACTCCCATTTCTTCCGAAGTTTCTGTCTCCTCCATAGGCTTAGTCCTGGAGGTGCCCCCTTATGTTGCGATAGCGCTTAACCACTTTTATAGGAATTTGTTTAATGTTACAATATTATTACTTGTTATTGTTACCACGTAGGTATTTCTCATACTACCTGATTTTCATGCAACCCTGCAGTAGAAAATAATGGTAAATTTTAGCAACGCGAACTGCGACATCAGAACAGTAGTTGACAAAAAAACGCGTCAAAATTTGTGGCAAAATAATTTTTTAAATTCAGAAGGGAGTAGTTCAACAAAGATGGTTATTGCTTATCTTTTTTGCATTTTCTCGGGTTTCCTGGAATCCTGTTTGTTAGATGCCAGTTTGAGAATAAAATTAAATGATAAAAAATTTTGAGATTAAATGAGAATACAGTAAGTTATTCGGTCTGTTGGAGCCGAGAATTTGCCAAGGTGACGGCTGACAGCTGCCGATCAGCCGGTGATGACCATACACAGTGCAGCGAATTGTTGGCGCGTTTTTGGAGTGAAGGAGTCATGCCGGTGACAGTGTGTTTAGACTGGGGATCAGTGCTCAAGATGACCAAAAGTGACCAAAATAGGGCTGGTTCGGTGTCTGAGTAAGGCTTTTCGCAGCGACACATATCGCGTTTATGGGGGAGCCTGGGCTTCTCACAAGTTGATCAAATTAATTTGCTATTTACAAAGAATTGGAAAAC